TTTACTCTAAATCAACTGTATCTAGTCTTTGGAAGTTGTCCCTCTCTATGGAGATATGCAGATACAACCTTTCTCTTTTGTAAGGAGATGTCAATATTACGATGCAAATAAGTGGCCTCTAAGTGATAAAGAAGGTGGTGTTTTCTTATTTTATCTTGTCACCAATTTCTTTATTGTACCAAATGCAGGCGACAAGTGTCATGTTAACATAGTTGAGAAAATCAAGATTACGCGTGCTGATCATGAATCTTATGTGACGCAGCTAGCGAAGCTCAACAACAATGTAAGTGCGGTTCTGGAGTTTATGCGGATTTCGTCTTTTCACTTTCTTAATTGTTTGTTACACAATTGTAATCTTATCTTTAAGTTTTTCTCTATTTTCAAGCACATTGAAACGTCAAGAGTAGCGCTGTTCGGAGGATTACAGTTTGCCTAGGTTTATCTTGCAGGTTGCTATTAGTGATCGCGTTTCGTTAAATTCGGATGCCGAAAATCGCGAAATGACTTCATTGGCCCTTAGTGGAATGCAGCTCCTCTGCCAATGGACTGCAGACGTTGTGGAGACTATCAGCTGGAAACTTCTACATCCCACTAATAGCCGAGATAACAAGGACTGCCCTGAGACTGCGGAGGAGTATGAGAGGGCGACAAGGTCGAGGCTTTGAATACCTTTACGAGAGATCAAGACTTTCACATCTTCTAAAATTCTTCTACCTTTTTTCAGATACAACTACTCACCTGCTGAAAAAACAGCTCTCATTCAGACAATTTCAATGATAAAAGGCTTACAGTCATTATTGGGACGCATCGAATCCTCTCTTTCCAATGCTATAAGGTATAGTAATTTACTTTGTGCTATATCAACCCATGTTGTTCAGTAGAAAAATATTGTTTTGCAGGCGTCATATATACACTGAACTGCAAACATTCGTTCAACATGCCTTCAACGAACCAATCCAAAAGGCTGTGAAGGGCAAGAAAGATCTTTTGGCAAGGTACTTAACTGATCTCAATTTCTATGATAACAGTTTTGAATATGCTGAGAAAAAATTATTCATGACTTATTTAGCATTTTACAATCGGTCCGGGATACGTGTATGGACACATATTCAGCGGAATCCCGACCATCTGTTGAAAAGTCAAAGAAAAGACAAGGGAAAGATTCGGCAACTAGTTCAAGCAGCGATTTGCGCATTACTAGGCGAGCGTCGCCACCCGCACCAAGCAGCACTCAGGTGACTTTCAAGATCCATCAAGAAGCATTTTTCACTGCGTTTTGTATGATGCTTGTTATCTACGAAATCAGTTGAAGAAAATGATTCCCTTCCAGCTCTATATGGCAAGGACTCAACTGGAGTCTCTGATATCGGAACGTGCTAGTGGTGGAAAGAAAGTTCTACGCAAGGAACTAGATGCAAAGACCATAGAGAGAATTTCAATCTTTCTGAGGTATCTTC